TGTGAAATTTTTTATATTTGATATAAGTAAGATGTTATTATGTATGTATATGAAAGTATGTGTTTTTGGTATAAGTAGGATGCTATTGTGTATTTGATGTATGTATTGAGAATGTATGTGTATTTGGTGTATATCTGGTGTGTGTATGTGAAAGTATGCGTATTTGATGTTATTATGTATGTATATAAAAGCATGTGTTTTTGGTATAACTAGGATGCTATTGTGTATTTGATATATGTGTTGAGAATGTTTGTGTATTTGCCGTATATGTGGGATATGTATGTGAAAGTATGTGTATTTGATGCTATTATGTGTGTATGTGAAAGTATGTGTTTTTGGTATAAGTAGGATGCTATTGTGTATTTGATATATATGTTGAAAATGCTATTATTGTAGGACGCTATTATTGAAAAAGAACATATAAAGTAAGATGTTATTTGTTAACACACCGTCGCTAACATATTAAACAAATAAAATTTCCCTGCTGGTTGCACTAATAATATATCACAGGGAAGCAGGGTCGAATCCTCATGGACATAGCCTAATGGTCAATGCCTTTTTGCATCACGCACATACTAGTCATTAACCAGAAAAATATAAAAAGGGAGTTCTGATTAAAAAATAAACTAAAAAAATTGCAGTGAAAAAAAACTAAATAAAACTCAGTAATAAAAACAATTTCAGTTCTGCTGCGACTTTCAGAATCATGCAATCAACCTATATTTGGTTATTCAGAATGCGTTCTATCTAAGCTGGCACTGAGAAAAAATAACAAGATCTGTTATAATCTCTTTTACCTCGTTGAATTAACTAAAACAAGCTCTTTAGTTAACCCTAACTTTTTACTGTCTAATTAAATAAGCTCTTAATTAAGATCAGAAAAGTTGCATTAAGTTCTGTGTAAAATTCTCAGCAATACCTAATACTTGTCACAAGCTCGGAAGCGTAAAGATATGATTTTTGAGTTTATATCAGAGTTAAATCCCAAACATGAAACCAATTTAATACTTGTTACTTATTACCAGTTGACAAGAACAATTACAGATTCTATTACTGATTAACTGGAATGATAAAAACCTAGCTAGGTGATCAGACTAACAAGAATTAAAAATCAAACGTTCATTAAGCTCAAAACTGAAAAATCTAGATAGAAATACAAGTTAAAAACCTGATTTGATAACTGGTCACATAAAAAGTACTAGTCTAATGCAGAACTGAAAACTAGGGTTTTCGTCAGACATGGATAAAAATAAATCTAAACTAATAAAAAGAAACATTAAGTAATTAATCTTCTAAATTAAGTGTATGAGATGATTCACATCCTTCATATCTTCAGAAAGTGCTGAAAAGTGTCAGAAATAGTATTCAGAAGTGTTTTTCGTCGTCAGGAACCGTCTAACCTTCAAATTTGATCAGGTAGGTCTTATTTATATGCGAAAAGGAACCTTCCGAAAGAAGTTATTAGAAAACACGATCGTAGAAAGCATATATGTGATTGTAGATTTTGGAATTTTTTTCCAGATTTGCCCTTAAATGAAGTACGATGCTATTTCTGAAGTTTTTGGGGTTGCATGACAAAAATGTGATTGCAGAAAGGGAATATTCTATCGTAGATATTACTTTTTTTTCTCCAGATGGCTTTCAGATGGATTTTTTCGACCCTACAAAACTTCGACCAACAAATACGATCACAGGAGTCAAAAATGCGATCACAGATTTGGGTTTTCGGCTCGATTTGGACGCGATTCTTCAGTTTAAGCACTCTAAGTCATTCCTTAGCATCCTTCTTTAGTTCCAACTCCATTTAGACTCCAAATATGCATCCAGCTGCTCTCAAAGTACCGTCCACTCGAACTATCTGAAAACGACACAAAAATTGTAGCAGTTAAGGAATTCTGATAAAAGACATGAGTTGAACATTATTTAAACTAATGACATGAAAATATACAAAATATAATGTTAAATGATAATAAAAACTACCCTAAAAGATGCATAAAATGACATCTATCCCTATTATTAAGAAAGCTATTTTTTATAAAAAAAAAAAAACAAATAAAGTAGGATGCTATTATTAGCAATGAAAACATAAAGTAAACCATTACAATGCTTTAATTGAAAAAAAAAACAAAAATAAAATGTCATAAATAACAAAAATATAAAAAAAGTACAATGCTCAAATAGAAAACAACAATGTAATATTTAAAGTACAATGTTGTTATAGAAAACTTAAAATAAAATCAAATACCATAAATAGCAAAAATATACAAAAGTAAGATGCTATAAATAACGAACAAATCTTCTAAATTCTATTCGTTTGTGTTTTCTTTGTAATCGTCATGACCCTAGAAACACCCGCCTGAAATTGATTTAGAAATTAATTTTAGGCTTTCCCCGTTTTAGGATTGTCTTTTGAGTACTTTATCTCAAAGTCTCATATATATATATATATATATATATATATATATATATATATATATATATATATATATATATTATATATATATATATATATATATATATATATATATATATATATATATAGTGATCAATAAATGCATGTTGATTTGGTGATTGTGTTTATATTTTAAGTGTAAGAAATAGCAATATAGATTAGTTTTTTGTCCCTCGATTAAAAATAGCAATGTATTTTGGCATCAGTAAATGCATGTTGATATGGTAATTGTGTTTTTGTCCCAAGTGCAAGAAATAGCAATGTACTTTTGGTAATTTTTGTATTTGAGTGCCAGAAATAGCAATGTACTTTGATAGTTTTTGTTTATGTTTGATAATTTAACTTATAAGTTTATATATGTTGTTATTTATGACATAGATGGAAAATCTTCGGGCAATGGTCAACGACCCGGTGTGTAGGAGGAACTTTAGGCGTTTTTTCAATTGGGGAAAGATCAAGGAGGAAACGACGAGAACGGAGATGATGATTCGTTGGATAATTAGTTTGTGTTTTGTATGTTAGACTTGTTGTGATACTTTGGTACTTGTTGGAATTATAAAATGTTGGCTGTTTATTTTGGTATGAAATTAATTATAACTCTATTTGGTACCTAATCAGATGTTATTATGTAATTTTTTTTTCTGTATTTAGTGTCGTTACGTATTGGTTTTTTTGCACCAAAAATCTGATTTAAAAAAAAATTAAAAATGAAAATTGTTATTACCGGTGACGGAAGGAATTACCGACAACAAGAACATTAGCGGCGACATAGAGTATTACTGGGGACAAGAGCATTAGTGACAACAAATATCTTTATTGGCGACATTTTAAGCAATAGTGACAAAGCAGTACCGACGACTTTTTACCGGCGACCTGACACCGACCGCTATTGTCTTTACTGACGACTTTGCTAGCCTTTATCGGCAACTTTGTTAATTTCTTTTTTTTTCTTGTAGTGACATTTATCTAAAAATAAAATAAACATTTAACTGTTCTTTATTTATATATAAAAGGTGCTATAGTATCATCACAGCTTGCACATCGCACATCAAAGATCTTTCAAACCCTAAGTTGTAAGTTTATGTATATTTGTAACTTTTAGAAAAGGCTGCTTTCAGTAGGGTAATCATGATGATCCAACAAGAAAAGAGAGAAGCATTAGGTTTCTTTACTCTATAATATACTATATAAATTCAATGGAAAAATAAAAAAAGACAATTTTTTTTATAAAAGAAATAAAAACACTGAGAAGACCATGTTTGAGTGGACGAAATTTTAACCGTCCGTCTGATGCATTTCTAGAAAACCTTAATTAATCCGAGAATTAAAGTTTTTGTTACTCGCACGTTAGTATCTCATGGCTATCATAAAAGGATACTGAACATATTGACAGGACATCTCACCCCCTATGTCGTTTAGACTATTTGAAATCGGATTTCATCAACGATAAGACGAAAACCGAAACAATAGACGTGCATGTTATACATGTACCCGTGTTCTTTTTTAATTGTACTTTATAGCAATATGTGGTAGGGCCAAAGATGAAGCACTAGCAATACCACTTTTACGAAGCTGCAGCCAACTTATACAGTTATATGATAAAAGGAGATGGGAATATTTGGTGTGGTACTGAGTAAACTATTGATGTAAATGCATGCTCGCTTATGTGCACATGAATGGTTTCAGAATGGATTTAAAATCGCCTATTTAGAATGGAGAGGAATCTAAGTACTAATTCCTCTACGCGATTCTGAATCTATACATTAATAGTTAGTCGATAAAAATTTCATCTGTCAGATCTTGAGGAAAATATGATGTACGTATGTATGATGATAGACAGCTCGATATACATATGTGATGTGTATGTACGCATGCATGCATATATCTAACATTAAGTAGTAATCTTGCGTTTATTGTAGTAAAAACTGTAGCGATGTCGTTCTTTTGTCATCAAAGAGGTTATAATTAATGCTGATTATGACTTGTTTAATTACTTGATTTTGACCCATAATTGAATGTCTAGATATTTCTTTTTGAAGCTCGAATAGAGTTTTCAAATCTGGCCTCTAAAGCGATTTAAGGATCAAATTAGCTGTCTTTAATTTCCAACAGTTTTTGCCTTTTTTTTTTAAACAAAGTAGTATGTCGGGAATGCCTGATTATTTTGAGCGAAAATTCAAATGTACGAATGCGTATTATATGATATTTCGCCGTTAAAAAAAAAAGTGTACGTATGCATAAACAGATGAATTACAGAACATGATTGAAGGAAGAACAAGAATTAAATTTCTTAATCACATATCTTAATGAAGTATCATAAAGTGTATTTAATATAAGAACATATATAATTAAACAAACAGATACGCAGTTATCAACTGAAACCCTAATATCCAACTAAATAACTCTTTTCAAAATTGAATTTCATACAAAGAAAATTGAAAATTAAGGCACAATTAATCCAAAATAACATATGGTTTGTTTTTGTTTTTGTTTTTTTTCTTTTTTTTAAATATATATAACTACTCAAACTTCAAACCACACAAAATACCTAAGAGTGATGGCTGGAGCTTGTTTCATGATGATCATGACCACGATCATGCGGATTCAACCCGCTTAAGAGATGATCAGAAGCACCCATACTGAAAATCGGCCGGAAAGGGGTCAATGCCGTCAGCATCCCCAGATGTCCTTCGGTTGGCGCCACTGTACCGCCGCCGTACTGCTGCCCTTGAAAGAGTGACATTGGTGTACCAAAATTCATATAATGTAACCCACCACCATTACTGATATTAGTCCCTAAACCTCCTCTATACGCATGATCATCGTTAGTAGTATTATTACTAGTGATGTGGTTACTGCTTGACGGAAAATTCCAGGTAGGATCGCCGGTAATGGCGTGAGAACTAGTGGTGGTAGTTGTGTTTGTATTAGGGTTTCCCATCATTAAAAACGACGTCGGCGGTGGTGTTTGAGTGTTACTCGCCGGGATCGAACCTGAACTCGACTGCATCATGTAACTTGATGCAACACCCATCGGAATACTCCGCAGATCTAAGCAGGACGACGAGTCTTGTTTGACTGCGGATGTTGAAAAATTCAAATACTGCGCCATCGGTTGACTGGTGACGAAGCTGAAACCGTTTCTCAGGTAAGAGGTGTGTCCTGCCGACATGGTGGATCCTGAGCTCCGGAGAGAGATATTCAAGGAAGTAAAGTTAGCCGGAATTGTCCCGGTTCCGGTGGCCGCGATTACAGCAGGTTCCGCCTGCTGTAACAGCCACTCGATCGTTTCTCCATCGGATTTGTGTCCCAGTTCACGCGTCAGCTGGAAGACCCTAGCGGCGCAGGTGGCCGGCATGCGGATCCGGCGGCCACGGCCATCAACCTTAGTGTGTCGGTCCTTTGTTGAAGCTCTTTTTGGTGCTGGTGGTTTTGGTTTAGGACAAGTTTGCAGGTCTTCGGCGACTACCGTTTCCGGTGACGGAGATTCACCTTCACCACCGGATCTTTTTTCTAGCAGCTGTAGTGGGAAGTTTAGTCGGCGGAAATCAGTTTGATTTTGAGCATCCATGACGATTATATATCTGATGGGGTTGTTTTCTGGGCCTCAAGTATGGAATTTTTGAGTGATATCACTTGTGGGTCTGATGATTCTTGTATTGCTTTCTCTCTCTAGGCTCCACTTCTCTCTCTAAAACTGGATCTTTGAATTCCCGAGGAATGGGGATGTGGGTTTTCTTGATTTTCTCTCTCTAAAAAAATAGAAAGGGATGAGAGAGATAGACGAGAGATTGTTGTCAACAAGCTTTAAGCAACAAACATAATGAGTGGCAATTATACAGTGTGGGCTATACTATGGGTATTCGATCTATTTTTTTTCTTTCTTTCTAAAATCCACACTTTTAAGGATTTAAACTAATAATTTTTAATCATGATGTTTTTTGTCAAATTATATTGTTGAACATAAAACAGAAAATAGTAAACGGCCTTCATTCGTTACTCTTAATAGGGTGAGCTAAATTCTCACCTTTTGGGAGAATATGGTGATTTCCCTTTCCTAATTCTTAGTACATGACAACTTTCTTTTTGCTTGTTATTTAGGAGTTTTGGCATCGTCTAAGAACACTAGTTGTCGGATTATAAATAGGGAAAATAATGAGAGAGCCATTATGGTTTAACTTCTTACTAAAAAAAGCCCCTCAATGATTTTTGAGAACAAAGTCACTCTCGAAATAAAAGGTCGAAATAAAGCCATTTTTGGTGTCATTAAAATAAATTCTAAAATATTTGTGACACAAAAAATGGCTTTTAATTTAGAGTAATTGTAGGCGGAACATCTCAAAACATAAATGTCGATGTGGTGCGATCATGTCGGACTCTTCTCCTTGCTATCAGAAGTATCTGAAACATTTAAATTTCAAACCGTAAGCACAAAACTTAGTGAGTTTTCCAAAATACCATATACCATACAATTAATGGGCCTAGTACAACAATTATGTTTCATCCATACGGGCCAACCCAACATTCATATATTCGGGCCCAACCCATTAAACATATAAATGGGCCTAGCCCAACGAGCCCAACCCAATAAGCATAAAATCAAACATGAAAGAGTTACAAAAACAATTAACATAACCTGACACCCACTGTCCTACAGTATAGTGAAAAGACTCAACTGAATCATAAGTTGGATAATAATCTTCTAAATGACGTAAAGGCAGCTACACGAACCCCTATAACAAAACAAAGGTCACACCTCAGTCTACAACCTAAATCCTTAAAGTTTGACTAACAATCAAACTGGTAAAAAGTCAATGGTCTGGGGGGATAGAGTACATCAAATGAACAGATTGTTCATTATCACCTACAGGTTTGCGAGCCTACTAGCGTTTCTACTGGATTATCTAGAATAGTTTGTCGTCGTCATCTATGATCTGCTAGATGACTGGTTCATCAATAGTCGAGTCCTCTCATCATCATCTCATCATTTATCACCCATTACTACCCCATATGTTTTATATAAATATATAAGAAAATATATATATGATTAAATCAAGTAAAAATCATATAATTTATCTAACACGGATATAAAGTAATTCAGATAATATGCACACATAGCATTTAATCATCTAGATACTTTATATCTATGTGTAAGCGAAAAGTAACTATGCACTCACTTATTAAAGTGGATGACTGGAAAGTTGGGCAGCGCTTCGCTTCAGTACTTAGCATTTCCTTTGTTGTGACCTAGGTTCAATTATCACTAAGTGTTAGTTTTTTTAGTTCTTATGACTAATTAATAGTCCAGTTTTCTCAACAATCCCAATGTCAACATCAAGATCTATCACGTAAAGAGCAACCAGATAAGATCATATCGGAGGTAGGGTCCATTTGGTATACATAGTATACTATTTTGAAATCCTACTTTAAACACCTCACTATATCTTGCCTAGAAGTCACCCCCATAAGTATATCAATCAGTATAATGACTTGGAGTCACTGAAAAATCTTATTTATCAATTCATAACAACGGTCATGAATATAAATATAACAACGACTTGGAATCACTGGTGGAACTCCGTCCTGATAACTATTAGTTGTCGGGCTCCTAGGTACCTCGAGGCTACATCGAAGACTAAAACTAAGCAAAAATCAAGAGCTAAATCAGGGAGAACTCGAGAGAGAAAGGTTGTAGGGGTGAATTGTGAGCAACATATACAAAGAGCAAGCTATTTGTAGCCATTTTTGAAAAGCACGTTGCGCACTCTATTGGGGCGCGCCACATAAATGGTCAGGGTGTTGATGTGGCCTTGCCTAAGTGGTGACATGTGTCAGAATTTTGGTGGATGTCAGATGTGTGCCACGTATGCTGTCTCTATGCGCGATTGTGCTTGAAAATTTTTATTTTCTTTTAAAAATTCATATCTTCTTCATATGAGCTCCTTTTTTGATGAGTTTTATATCCAGGTGTAGCTATCGAGGAGATCTACAATTTTCAGTAAGACTCTGTCGGCTAATTTTGAATTTATTTATAAAGTTATATTTTTAACAAGCTTAGATTGTTAAAGTCGGTTAAAATTCATAACTCTCTTGTCCGACGTTCGTTCTCGACTGTCTTTATATCGAAGGCTGGCTATTAACGTGATCTTTGATTCTCGTTTAGATTCCTTTGGCTAAAAATCTACCGATTCATATTCGATTTCTGTGTCTGCACTACAATGCTGAAACTTCGAAAAATTTTAATTTCCTCATACAAAGTCAGATTTAGGCATTCTCCATATGCATGCTCTTGGTTTTACAATTACTACGACATTCGTTTAGATCACTTAGGCTAATAAGCAACCTATCAAAAGTTCACTTTTTACGACACTCATTGCCAAATCGGGTTGAACGCGGAACTTCAACGGGTCACAACTTCTTCGTTCTAAGCGCAATTTGAGTGTTCCTTATATCCCCAAAATCCTCATCAAGACTACCTCGACTTTCATCAAGGTTATTTGACCTAATTATTATTCTATTTAAGACGCATATTTTATTTTTTATTTTATTATATCGTTTTAAGCACGTACACTATATATAACTACACATAGAACACATAATAATCAACAGTTCTCTTTATTTACTTCATATAAAAGTTACAATTATTGACCATTACAAGCATATTATCTTATTAATATCTAGCGATAAAACGCGGGCGTTAGAGATATCCATAAAGATGATATGTGCATGAAAATTGGATGTGATGCATGTTGGGTATTTAGTGTTGCGTCTTTTGGGCCTTTTAGTTAGTCTATTATGTATCCAGGTTGGGCCTGACCACCCGTGATTGATTATTAGGGTTTTACTATTTAAGGTGGATGCATGCATCGTGTAAATGTTAATCGTGTCATTGTAAACCCTACGCACCTCTACAGTAGCAGTTCTTCATCGAGCTCTTCTGAGGTTGTGATTTATAATCATTCGACACATTATTGATTCATATTCTTGTTTGATTGTTATTACTTGTTTGAATCTAATCGATCTTTAGAGTTTTTGACTCGTCAATTGGTATTAGAGCAGGAGATTGTGTAATCTATACGCATCTATTCTGTTGAAAGAGTTTTTAAGGTTTCCGCTATTATAGGATCTGGTTCAACCGTCATCGCTGTTATCAACGTTGATCTTTGATCTTTATATTACCCAAAAACCATTTAGTTTACACATCTGATTCATACAGGTTTTGTCAATCTCTAAACATGACAGACGATTCTCATGTTAACTCAATAAATCTTTCAAGCAACATTGGATCTACAACCAGAATTCCCATTCTTTTTCCCAACGATTATGAAATGTGGGCGTTGCATTTTGAAGATTACGTCCTTGGGCTTGAAGATCATGGTTATTTGATATGGGAAGCCATTACTGTTCAGACGTTTACTCATACAGGAACAAGAAGAGAAATTAAAACACAGCAAGATTACAACAAACTTCTTCTTGATGTAAAATACATGTCACAATATGAGAAGGACAGGCTGATAAGCAACGTTAAAGCAATGAGGATCATCATATTTGCCTTGCCACTAGACACTTTTCGTTTGGTTAGTTCGTACGACACAACAAAAGCCATTTGGGATAGGCTTAAAGAACTGTAATCAACTGATGTTGATCTAGAGCATTCCACTCAGACTCTACTGCTTTCAGAGTTTGGAGCGTTTGTACAAGAGCCTGAAGAGAGTCTGGATCAAACTTTCAATCGCTATAATCATCTTCTCAGTAGGATGATGATGCACAGGATTGGACGTGAACTTATCGAGCAAAAGGTCACATTCATGAACAGGGTGGGATCTGAATGGAAGGATGTCGTTTTAACTATAAAAGCACATGAGCAGTTCAAGAACTACACATTGGTGAAGCTAGTTGGAATACTAAAGTCACATGAAGCTAAAGTGACGAAAGAAGGGAAGATAGTTTCTGGAATGGGATCACTGGCCCTTGTTGCGAAGGGTAAAAAGGATGTAGATGATGATGGTTCGGAGTCTGATCTCTCAGGTTGTGAACTTACTAAGGAGGAGTTCGCTTTGATGGTATCTAATCCAAAAAGATTCACAAAGAAGAACTTCGGTCCAAAAAAGAACCAAAACTGGCAGGGCAGTTATAACTCTGAAAAGGTAAAGGATGAGAGTGCGAATAACTCTAAAAAAAAAGAAGCAAAAAAGGATAAGAAGCTCATGGGCGACTCTGGCTATGATTGTAACCACTATCATGGCAAAAACCATCTGGCCAATGAGTGCATGCTGAGAAGATTGAGCGAGAAGAAGGAAGGAGAGGATGATGAAGCTTATTATCTCCGAAAGTTGGAGGAGATAAAAAAGAAGAAGAATGTTGATAACACCATGACTTCTTTGATTGTGCAGGAAAACGAAGCTGAAGATGAGTTTGGCAGAGTCGAGGTCTGGTCGACTGACTTTGAAGACGAAGAGGTTCACAGACTTACTCATGGAAGGTGTTTGATGGTTACAAGTGAAGTGTCAGAGATGAGAGGCTATGCGATTGATAGTGGACATGGCGTCGATAGCTGTTTCGCTGTGAAAC